GGAGGAACTCCCAAAATGTCCTCCATTTTGAGCAGGAGTAAAATGTGTAGTTCTATGAGTAATTTGAGCTTTTATTTTCTATCTACGAGGAATTCCCAAATGTCCTCCATTTGGAGGATGACTTAAGGAGCGTGAATTTATAGTTCTGTGAGTGTTTTTAAGCTTCTATTTTTTTTTTTCTGCCCAGGAGGAATCTCTAAATGTCCTCCATTCTGAGCAGGACTCAGAAGCACGGCGGGTGGACATTTATTTCCAAGAGTTTTTTCAGCTCTTAACAGTGGGCCATCATGTCCTCCATTTTCTTTTTTTTCCCCTGGAAGCTCCTCCATTTGGGGTGAGGGGGGGGGCCTGGTCCTCCTCGGTGGCTTCGAATTTCCCTCAGCCGGGAAACTCCCCTCCCCTCCCTACAGCTCCCGTTAAAGCGGGATGCAGCCGGGATGATCCCTGCTGCCGTGATGGAGCCTAAGCCGCCCTCAGAGCGCCCTTTACCTCTTCCGGGGCGATGTGGAAAGCGCCGGCGATCTTGGCGTAGAGCTCCCTGGCGCTGGCGAAGCCCTCGACCCTCCCGGTGGGGCTGCCGTGGGCCAGCTGCGTGTGGAAGACAAGCCGGATCGGTCCCGCCCGGGGGGCAGCAGAGCCAGAGCCAGAGCCAGAGCCAGCCGAGGCCTCCGCCGCCCCTCCGCCGCCCGGAGCCCGCGCCAAGGGGGCCTCGCCCTCCACCAGCGTCGCCCTCGCCTCCTTGGACTTGCCTCGCCTCTTCCCCTTCAGCCCCAGAGGCATGGTCGTCCCGGAGCAGAACCGCCTGCGGCCGCCCGGCAACGGACTCCAGCGCCTCCTCGGCTTCTCTCAGCCTCTCTCTGCCCAGAGGGACAGGTGGCGGTGGCGGGGGCACCCGGCGGCAGCCAATGGGCGGCGGCGGCGGCGGCGGCGAGGGAGCCAACTGCCAAGAGGGGAGCCACCTGTGCCCGCCCACACAAACACAAACAGACACAGGCTCCCCTCAGTTGCCAGGCCCCAAATGGCCAGCGAGGCCATGGCCCTCTCCCTCCTCTCTGGGCATCTCCTTGGCACAGTGTACAAATGGACATATATATTATGAATATATATTATCCCAAATAGTGTGGCCATAGTCCAGTCCATCATGTCTGGGCATCTCATTTGCATAGTGTACATATTATTATATTTTATTATAAATATGTATTATAAATTATTATCCCAAATAGGGTGGCCATAGCCCTGTCCTCATATCTGGGTATCTCGTTTGCATAGTATACAAATTATTACAATTGTTGTTGTTGTGTGCCTTCAATTTGTTTCCAACCCTAAGGCAATCCTGTCATGGGGTTTTCTTGGCAAGTTTTGTTTAGAGGAGGTTTGCCATTGCCTTCCCCTGAGGCTGAAAGAGTGTGACTTGCCCAAGGTCACCCAGTGCTATTACATGCCTTCTAGCCAATTATAGGGTTTTCTTGTCAAAATTTACTGAGTGGAGGTTTGCCATTGCCTTTCTCTGTGACTGAGAGAGCCACCCAGTGGGGGGTCTATGCCTGAGCAGGAATTTGAGCCCTAGTCTCCCAGAGTCCTTGTCCAGCACTCAGACCACTATACCATGCTGGCTTGTTTGATGAAACATACCTAAAGGATACAAGAGCCAGTGTGGGGTAGTGGTTTAAGCTTTAGACCAGGGGTAGGCAACCTTTTTGAGACCTGGGCCGGTCTCCCATAGCCCAGGTCTCGGCTGGGCCAAGGGGGGGGAATGGCGGCGCGCGCACGCGCACCCCCCACTGACGCGCGCGACCCCCACACATGCCGCCACTGTATATGGCGTGGCGGTGGCCGCATGTACGGGGGGGTCACGTGCGTCGGTGGAGGCTTCCTCGGTGGCGATGGGCCTCCTGGAATCCCGTCGCCACCGAGGGTCCCCCCAGGAGGCTTCCCTCGGTGGC